GTAACTATTAATAATAAAGACAGCATGAAAGAGTATGATATTTGAAGTTAGAATCTTAGCTGACTCTTTTATAGACTATATATGTGCTTTTGGAAATGTGTGCATCGAGAAATACTTAACATCTCAATTAATCAACTTCAATATCCTTATAAGTAAAATGGGGATAGCATGCATCTTCCAGTGTCATATTTTGAATAGCACTGTTTGAGAGAACTTTCTATGATAATGGAAATGTTCTATACCTGTAATGTCCAATATAGTAGCTGTTAGCCACATATGGCTATTGAGCACTTGAAATGTGGCTGTGACTGAGGAACTAAAAAATTTTTTTTAAAGAAACAAAAGTTTATCTCGCATTTAGACAAAGTCCAGGAGACTCTCTTCCAGGATACTGAATTTTAAATTTTATTTAATTTTGGCCACTTGTGGTGGCCCATGCCTGTAATCCCAGCACTTTGCGAGGTCGAGGTGGGAGGATTACTTGAGGCCAGGAGTTGGAGACACCCTGGGCAACATAGCCAGACCCTGTCTCTGCAAAAAAATGTAAAAATTAGCCAGGTGTGGTGGTGCATGTCTGTAGTCTCAGCTACTCAAGAGGCTAAGGCAGGAGTCATTTGAGCCCAGGAGTTGAAGGCTGCAGTGAGCTATGATGACACCACTGCACTTAAGCCCTGGTGACAGAGCAAGACCCTATCTCAAAGAAAAACAAATTTAAAAACAAATTTAAATTTAAATAGCATCAAATACCTAATTGGCTACGATCATGGACTATGTAGACCTAGAACAAATCCTAGCACATAATAGATGTTGTTAGTTTATTTCTATTTTCCCTATCAGACCAGTAATTTTTTATATCCCCCTCTTTACCAGATAAGTTCAAATAAAATAACACAACAAAGAATTCCCCACAGAAAGCTAACTTATAGCCCTTAATTGCTTCTTCAAACAAACAGCAATAGCAACATAAAAACAAAAGTGATTTATTAACCAGTTTTGTGACATATATCGTGCTAAGAGTTTTGCGTGATTATCTCATTTAATCATCATAATTCTACAAAGTTGGTACTACTATTTTGTAAGTAGGAAAATTAAGCTTAGAATTTGTCCACAGATATAAAGCTAGCAAGTTAGTAAGCAAATATTCAAACCCAGGTAGTCTAATTCCAGAGACTATGCTCTCAACCACGTTAAATTGCCTACATCTTAATGAACAAGTTTATATAAGATTCATTACTCGGTGGTAAATAAATGTTCTCCCAACTCAACATCACCCTGAAACACACACACACACACACACAGCACATATTGGAAATCAAACAATTTGAGCTATAGACAAAGTTATGCATTGTAACTGGCTGGCCCAAAATAAGTCTCATGTGCCAACTGGTATGACCATGTACATGTACCAAATTTGGTGACTTTCCACTTATTAAGAAGACTGAAAAAATTATCATTACCTCTCTTCCCATAATAAAATGACTAAAATATAAATCCATATTTTAGAATTAAAAATCTACTTTGATAGGGGGTTGGGGAAGCTAGGATTGGACCTATAGCAGAAGCACAAAGCAGAGGTAGTCAATACTTCCTAAAGCCCCATGTCACTGTCTATAAGGGATATTTGTTTGTTAAGACATCAAACATTTCTGCTAGGAGATTAACCGGATTCACTGCATTTGCATGAAACACACTGACACTCTTATCTCAATTCTAAAAGAAGCTTAATTCACTTAATGTCTGCAGCATTTATGACAAAGTATTTATTGTGCCCAAAGCTGGAATTCTTATTCCAGTTTTGCCTGATAAGTCAGAGGAACATTTTACATAGCAAGCCACAGCATACTCTTTGCTGAATAACACAAGAACGTCTGAGTGGCAGGAAAGTTAATATCTGACCTATTTTTCTCTCTCAAGGAGGAGTGAACAAGAAAAGACCATTGACCTTTCTCTCAGATTAAAACAATGTATATAAATTTGTCATCTTCTCCCAATACATCAGGTCTCTAGCTTCTCTTTAAACACCTTGCACAAGCCCTTGGTCAAAGCTAGTACTAAGAGATTCCATTTATTGAGAAATTCTCAGTCTAGTATTATTAGGCACTAGAAATAAACTGCTTTAAAGATCTGTTGCAAGTAACTTTTTAAAAACTATAACAGGCCAGGCACGGTGGCACACGCCTGGAATCCTAGCACTCTGGGAAGCCGAGGCGGGCAGCTTGCTCAAGGTCAGGAGTTCGAAACTAGCCTGAGCAAGAGCGAGACCCCCTCTCTACTATAAATAGAAAGAAATTAATTGGCCAACTAATACATATAGAAAAAATTAGCCAGGCATGGTGGCACATGCCTGTAGTCCCAGCTACTCGGGAGGCTGAGACATGGAGGGATTGCTTGAAGCCCAGGAGTTTGAGGTTTTATGAGCTAGGCCTGATGCCACGCACTCACTCTAGCCTGGGCAACCAAAGCAAGACTCTGTCTCAAAAAAAAAAAAAAAAAAAAGAACTGTTGCAAGTAACTTTTTAAAAACTATAAGCCAGGTGGCCGTGGCTAAGGCCTGTAATCCTAGCACTCTGGGAGGCAGAGGTGGGCGGACTGCTCGGGGTCAGGAGTTTGAAACCAGGCCTAAGCAAGATCGAGACCCCATCTATATATATAAATAGAAAGAAATAATGGCCAACTAATATATATAGAAAACAAATTAGCCAGGCATGGTGGCGCAGGCTGTAGTGCCAGTTACTTGGGAGGCTGAGGCAGGAGGATTGCTTGAGCCCAGCAGTTTGAGGTTACAGTGAGCCAGGCTGATGCCATGGCACTCACTGGAGCCTGGGCACAAAGCAAGACTCTGTCTCAAAAAAATAATAATAAAAATAATAAAAAATAATAACATTTGTACTTTTTAGATTCTAACATAACTCAGTTTAAGCAAATACAGATGAAACTCAAACCATAATGAAAATAGGAACAACGCCAGTGTTCTAGAAACACTACTGAAGAACCAAGGAGCTGACCTTAAGGCAGAACAGTCAAATAATTATGGCACCATTACTTTTAGCTCTGTCTGACCTGCTGTGTGACCTGGAGCTAGTTCCTTTGCTACTTTATGCCTTTCACTCGTATCAGTGATAGAGAATTAAACTACTGTCTCAGTGGAATAGTGAGTAGAGTTAAAGTTATTAAGCAAATGCTTTGGCAAAAGTCATATGAATGTTAATATTATGATTTACAAGCAATTCATTTTCCCAGCACTCCTGAGGGGTTAGAAGTTATCTAGATTTCATAGATGAAGTAAACAGGCACAAGGGGGTAAGGTCACATGGTAAGGCTCTATTACTTAGTCCCTTCCGGAAGGGGATTAACATACACTTTAGCAAGCATATGAACTTTCTTGGCACATCCTAAACAATCTTTTTTTTTTTTTTTTTTTTTTTGAGACAGAGTCTCGCTTTCTCTGCCCAGGCTAGAGTGAGTGCCGTGGCGTCCAGCTCGCTCACAGCAACCTCAGACTCCTGGGCTCCAAGCAATCCTCCTGCCTCAGCCTCCCGAGTAGCTGGGACTACAGGCACAAGCCACCATGCCCGGCTGATTTTTTTATATTATATATATTAGTTGGCCAATTAATTTCTTTCTATTTTTTTTTATGGTAGAGACGGGGTCTCGCTCAGGCTGGTTTTGAACTCCTGACCTTGAGCAATCCGCCCGCCTCGGCCTCCTAGAGTGCTAGGATTACAGGCGTGAGCCACCGCGCCCGGCCTAAACAATCTTTAATGCATTCAATACTTAGTGTTGTATCTTTTAACATGCTATTGATGAAACTGAAACAGCTCTAAAATAGCAACAAGAATAAATGAGAAGGAAGAATTCTGTGTGCTTTGGCAAAAACCACCATAGAAAGACACAGATAAATAATCTCAAGATAAAAATTTAAATTATTATTTTCAGGGTTTTACCTCCACTACCATGAGGACCTTGGACCACAGGAATTAAGAAATATGGTTTGCCATGAAAATATTTTGAAAAATTTTGGCAGTTTCTTATAAAACTAAACATACGCTTACTATATGATCCAGCAATCACACTCCTTGGTATTTACCCAAAGTAGCTGAAGACTTATATCCAAACAAAAACCTGCACATGGATGTGTACAGAACTTTACTTATAATTGCCAAAACTTGGAAGCAACCAAGATATCTTTTAGTAAGAGAACAGATAAACTGTAGTACATCTAGACAATAGAATATTATTCAGCACTAAAAAGAAATGAGCTATCAAGCCATGAAAAGACATGGAGGAACCTTAAATGCATATTACTATGTAAAAGAAGCCAATCTGAAAAGGCTACATAATGTATGATTCCAACTATATGACATTCTGGAAAAGGCAAAACTATGGAGACAGTAAAAAGGTCAGTGGCTGCCAGGGGATAGAGAGGGATAAAAAGGCAAAGCACAGAAGATTTTCAGGGCAGTGAAAATACTTTGTATAACATTATAACAATGGATACATGCCATTAGATATTTGTCTAAACCCACAGAAAGTATAATAGCAAGAGTGAACCCTAATGTAAACCTTGCACTCTGAGTGATTATTGTCACTGTAAGTCATCAATTGTAACAAATGTACCATTCTGGTAGAGGATGCTGACAATGGGGATGATATATATGCATGGGGAGAGAGGCTATATGTGAGATCTTCATACTTCTCTCTCAGTTTTACTGTAAACCTAAAACTGCTCTAAAAAATAGTCTTTAGGGGGAAAAAAAGGGTTGTCAAAGTGGTATGCCCCAACCCAATTCTTTAGGAATGTATATTTGTCCTTTGGGCTTTAATCAGCAACTGTGCAGAAAGAGAAAACAAATCTAAAGAGACTAAAGAATGAATGAGTAGCAATAAGGGTTCAGAAAGGCCAAAAAAGGGCAAAAATACTACTCGTGTCTAACAGGAACATAAAAGAAGCAGGAATGATTTTTCTGCTCTTATCTAAGCATGTTTGATATATTGCTTACCCGACTCCGAAGACAGTCAGCCAAGTTTCGACGTGTGAAATTAGCTGCTGCTGTGGGAGATAATTCATATCCTGGTATAAGAAATAAAGAGTCATACTTAAAGTGAAGCCAAAGGAATAACAGCACCCCAAATCATATCTCACTAACCCTGTTCTTAAAACCCACCATCTTTTGTACATTCAGAGTATACAAAGTACACAGACCAAGGGATACTATAAGTAGTTCTAGTCCCTTTCCTCATGTAACAGTTGTGAAATAGCTGACTAGCACTGACAGCAATTCCTGGACACCAACAGAATCAGGATGACTGTTCTATGGTGGGATTAAATTCGTATCCTTGCTTAAGGATTCATTCATCAAAAGATTGTGGTTTCTTCAGTAGAATGAAAGAGGTATGAATACACAGGTGGTGGTAAAAAAATAAGTTTTAAGATGCCAGTTTTTTAAAGGTTATTTAAAAAAAGACATTGGGAGAAGACAGGTTGGAGGTTAGGACAGCTTGAGTCATATTTTATAAAAGAAAATGTAATTTTATTAAGAAGTATAATATGATTTTCAAGTACAAGCCACAGAAAAAGAATTTCCAGCATTCTACATTTTAAAAAATAGAGTATCTCAAGAGTAAAACTTTAAAAAGAAGTTGTAATGCTAACAAAAGTACAATCCAGAGGAATGACATCAGGTATGCATTTAATAATGCATTCGCCTTGGAACTTAATCCCCCCCATAAAATGGAACCAGTGCCAAAAGGCACAATAATGACTCACAACTCAGTGGACCCACATGGAAAATGCCAATTTGGAAAGACAAATCCCAACGGGGTTATTTGTTATAACATTTGAAACACCACTGTCAGATAAGGTGAGACTTAGATTCTAACAAATATTTATTGAACAGCCACTATGTTTCATGGTCTGTGCTGGGAATTTTCACATGTATTATTGACTTCCACCCTCACAAGTCTATTAGTGCATATTAAATCACAATGAAAGCAACCCTAGACAAACAGGAATACTACTAAATTCTCCACCTCATCCCCTACACACCATTAAGTATTTAACCATTATCTTAAAGGTCTAAAAGTCTGATGCCTGATGTCTACACACAGACTTTTCTCTCTTTCTTTCACTTATTTCTGTTCAGTTCTTTATCTTCAATATATATAAGAATTACTATACAGGGTTATATACACAAAACTATACTTGACAGGTAATTTAAGGGTCTTTAAGGGCAATTTTAACTAAACAGAATTTTTTACTTTAGACCCTAAAATGCATGTAACAATTAACTCTTATTCACTCTTCCCCTATCCCAGGACAGCCAGTGAAATATTATTGTACCTCCCATACTTCAGTAGCATTATCAGCACCCTTGCCATGTAGGCAAAAAGTGGAAGCACTAAAAAAAAGCAGAATTCTTGAAATATTACAAATTTGCTTAAACCTAACTACCACATGCTTTATGTTCCTGAATGGCAGGAAGCAAGCCTTGTTCATCTTTGAGTTCTCCACATGACTAAGCAGAGTGCTTAACATAGATGAGGCCCTCAAAAATATTTATGGAATTGAATCCATAATGCTAAATCTGCTGTCTAAAAAACTATACAAATGGATCCATCTAGTCATTTTGCACATGCAGTTATAATATATTCAAATTACGATAATTCCTTCACAGCTCCACGTTATACAAGTACAGTGTGTAACAGTGCTATTAAACTATGAAGTAAGAAACTAGAAATAAAGTTCTCCCTGACAGAGTACCACTACAAACCTTCCTGGATCGGAGGGCTAGTGGCTTGTACTGTTTGATAGGGAGGCTTTCCTAGTGGATAAGAGTTCATTAGCCCCAGAAAACTCAGAAAATACCCCACAAGAGTCTTAATTATCCAGTTAGACAGGAACCCACCAGAGAGTAGGGTAAAATCCTTTTATGGCACAGTAAATGCCTTACAGTTACACAGTGCTTTAAGTTTACAAAGCATTTTCATATGTACTATTGTTATTATAATCCCATTTGAGTGATAAGGAAAATGATGGCCCAGAGAGATAAGTGACTTGTCACACAGAAAACAGTAAAGCCAGGTTTTACTTAGGTCTTTTGACTGTGATTCAGATATACTTTGGCTCAAATGACATCCTCTGAAATATCTACAACTTTAAAAAGTCTGATATTACCATCCTTTCCTTACCTCCAAGATGGTGTTAGTTTTTATCAAGTATCAAGGTTATAATGGTTCTCTGTTCTGGTGTTTTTATAGAAAATCTTTAGGACAGAAGGATTAGAATCTTTAGGGTCTAGACAAGTTTTTTAAAATAGGAAGACTCAAATGAAAATAAGACCATAGGCCTGTACATGTGTAGAGCTGCCAGGATAGAATGTTCTTTTTCAGTTCAAATTTAAAGACAAACCACCTGTTAAGGGATGAATTTTGTCCTCCAAAAATTCATATGTTGAAGTAACCCCCAGTACCTTAGAATGTAACTATATTTGGAGACAGGATCCTTAAAGAGGCAATTAAGTTAAAGTAAGATCATTAGGGTGGGCCCTAATTCAATATGACTGGTAAGAAGAGGAAATTTAGACAAAGATAGTACAGAGGGAAAATTATATGAATACACAGGGAGAAGATGGTCATCTACAAGCCAAGGAGAGAGGCCTAAGATATCAACCCTGCTGACACCTTGATGTCAGACTTTAGCCTCCACAATGTGAGAAAATATATTAATATTTCTGTTGATAAAGCCACCCAGTCTGTGGTACTTTGTAACGGTGGCCCTAACAAACATGCTAACCAAAGCTACTCTAATCATACCCACCATTTCTCATCTTATAAAGTTGCACATTTTTCTGAATATATTCTGCAAACTGTACAGTGTCTCCAGCCTCTCCAACACATAGGAGCAAGATTTTTTCACTCATCTTAAACATCTTGTCATGATCTGCTCAAAGAAAAAAACAGTGTTAGAAATTGCCTTAACAGAAATTGACAGTTATTATATACAGAACCATAAACAACTTTATTAATTACTACAGTTGGCCCTCCATATCCATGGGTTCCACATCTGTGGATTCAACCAACTGTGGAAAATATTCAGGAAAAAAAATAGATAGTTGTATCTGTACCGAATATGTACAGATCTTTTTTCTTGTCATTATTCCCTAAAATATAACTATTTACATAGCATTTACATGCATCAGGTATTAACGTAATCTAGAGATGATTTAAAGCACACAGGAATATGTGAGTAGGTTATATGCAAATACTACATCATGTTATTTAAGGGATTTCACCATCCATGGGTTTTGGTATCCACAGGGGTACTAGACTCAAACCCCAAGGATATCAAGGGTTGACTATATATTAATAATTTTACTAATCATTGTTTTTAGAAGATTTTAATAGGTAACATTATCAATTCCTCTTTTACTCTCTATGTCAAACCATTGGCATATTTTATTGATGTCAATTTTAGTTAAGAATATGTATGAAAGCTGACAATTGAAAATACTATTTAGGGCCGGGCACGGTGGCTCACGCCTGTAATCCTAGCACTCTGGGAGGCCAAGGTGGGCGGATCACTCGAGGTCAGGAGTTCGAAACCAGCCTGAGCAAGAGCGAGACCCCATCTCTACTATAAATAGAAAGAAACTAATTGGCCAACTAAAATTATATTAGAAAAAATTAGCTGGGCATGGTGACGCATGCCTGTAGTCCCCGCTACTCGGGAAGCTGAAGCAGAAGGATTGCTTGAGCCCAGGAGTTTGAGGTTGCTGTGAGCTAGGCTGACTCCACAGCACTCTAGCCTGGGCAACAAAGTGAGACTCTGTCTCAAAAAAAAAAAAAAAAGAAAAGAAAATACAATTTAAAACATTTAAAAGCATTTGAAATTCCAGTAACAGAACAACAGAAGAAACTGACAGAATCTAGCCAATGACAATTATCTTTAGGCTCATGATTACAAAGCTCTGAAATATTTCTACGAATACAAATGTTAGTTATGATATTTATACACATACAAAAGCATATAAAGACTGGTGCTATCATTAAAATTAAGGGACCCTCTTAAGAAAGAATAGAAAACCAAATGAGAATATAAATCACTTTAATTGGCCAACTAAAAATGTATAGAAAAAATTAGCTGGGCATGGTGACGCATGCCTGTAGTCCCCGCTACTCGGGAAGCTGAAGCAGAAGGATTGCTTGAGCCCAGGAGTTTGAGGTTGCTGTGAGCTAGGCTGACTCCACAGCACTCTAGCCTGGGCAACAAAGTGAAACTCTGTCTCAAAAAAAAAAAAGAGAGAAAATTAAAATGATTGTCAAAGCAAAAATTCTAACAGTAAACTATTTAAAACACCTCACAAAAATCCTAATACTCTAATCTTATCTAGCTAAACCAGACTCGTTCAGATTATATAGATAAATAAATATTCAGATTTCAATTACTGCCTAAAGAAGAAAACTCCATATTCAGTCTGCAGCTTCAGAAAAAGACTAAATCTTCCTATCTTGCTCTCACTTTCACTTTTCATTTTTCAAATAGTGCTGAATAATCTTCCCTGGAAGACATGTTTCCTGTTTGAAAGATTCTGAAATGTCAAAATCCCTTAATAGGATTTAAAGAACAAAATGCTACTGTTAAATACTTTACAAGTGTTTGAGAGTTGTAGATAATATGGCTTCTTAGACTTTGAGGAGAAAAACACAAAATGTACCTGTAGATAATATCAAATTGCCTCAAAACTCCTAAACAAACACAATTTAATCTGTTATACTGGCTACAGGAAATGTAAAGACTGTTAGTATGCAAACTTGTTTATAAAACAAAAACACTCACTTATAATATATTGTTTATGCAAAGAAAAAGGACCAAAAGGGTATATTCTAAGTGCTTGCCAGTGCTAACAGCATTGGGTAATTTTTACTTCCTTCTTTTTGCTTATCAGTATTTCCTAAAATCTCTATACTTAATTTGCAACACTTATGTAAGAAAACATTGTTTAATAAGTTTGCATTACTTTTATACTAAGAAAAAAAGCTGCTTTTATTTGGGAGGTTAGTTTGTTTACAAAGAAATTTTGTCACATTTTGAAAAAGGCTAAAATTCTAGGCAGTATACCTGTTCAATTTTCAAATGGACTTAATACAAGGCCAAAATGTTTTTTAAACAACAAGCATATCCAGTAAGTTGTGAAGGGTGATATTAAAACACAAGTGACAGATACTAATGGCCTCCTGAGTTGTACAGGAAACTGCCTGTGTAGCTCTAGGGAATTTCTGGTCCATGACAAGGAAGTTACAAGATCCACATACATGAAACAAATGGATTTAAAAAATGAACACCACCAGTGTGTAATACTGTGGAAAACCAACTGGACTAGAAAGCAATAGACCTCAGTTATGCTCCAGACTAGGCACTCTGAACTTAGACAAATTACTTGCCCTAAGTCTCAGTTTCCAAATGTATAAAATGGTGATAAGATCACTTATCCCCATCTAACTTGCAAGTGAGGAAAACTGTAATGAACTCTACACACGTACAGTATTATTATACTCAGTGTTAAATAATGTAGGTCAGATTATACATGCTAAAGGAATTCAAAAAAGAGAGTTCTGTATGGGCTGGGGTACTCTGAGTAACTTAAAAGCAATTCTATATAGGCCAAGAGAAAACAGACATTAAACGTAGCACATAACCAAACCAAAAGTTGCACCACTTAACTTTAATAAGCTGGCAATCTTCGGGAAATGTCTTCCCTACAGCATCAAAATATTTTACAAAGTGACCTACTGAAAAGCTGACTGGAAGTTGTATTCTCATTTTATACTTGGAGAAAATGAGTACCAAAAGGTTACTATTTTTCAGCATTCTTGCCTTCTCTACACAAATTCGTTGATGAAATGGTTAGGAGAAAGTCCTTATACAATTCTAAAATTCCTATCATAAAAATTTTTATACCAGAAAAGACTAAGGGAAAATTAGAGTTGAGTGCAATTTTTTCCAACTATTTTTCAAGAACTAATGCCAATTCATCTTTCCTCTATACCACAGTGATCTTTCTTTTCTCTGAATACTCAGGATTTACTTCTAAAATCATTAATTTAAAAACTAACCTAATACCAACTAGCAATACCTCCTTTATCATACAAAAATCATCTTATAGTATTTATTTTCTTGTTATCTTAATGTCTTGGACCCTTCTGTAGATTATATATAATATGGTACACCCCCATAACAACCAGAAGTACTGTGTACATAAGCAGGCTTAAAGAACATCCTACTTTTTGAAGTGATTTTCCATATATTATTGGGATGAAACAGAAAATCTATAAAGGTATTGACTTGCTTATTGCTCTACCTAGAGATTACTTCATGTTAGAAGCACTTGTTTGTCAAAGGCCTTAATATTCAAAATAATGGACAAATTTACTCTCAAAACAAATTTACTCCTTTGGAATTTATAAGACTAGTTTACAAACGGAAAGAACTTCTACAAACTAATCAAGAAATCTCCAAAAGTAATTTTACTTGAAGAGCAATCCATACCATAGATGTTTAACAAACCACTTTCAGGTCCCTTTTTCTTCAGAAAGAACAGAACTGAAGCAAAGTCCCTCAGAGTTCTTTCCATCTTCCCAGGTGGAGCCAGAGCCTGACAATCAGATGCCTGCCACTTTACAAAGGCAGTAGTGGACATTTTTTTGGCCTTTGTTCACATACTTCAGGAAACTCCAGATTTAGTATTTTTCTTTCCTTAAGTCTAAGGAACTGTCATTTGCCCTCAAAGTTCTCCCTAATCTGTATAACCAGAAAGAATCTCTTTTTCTTCTGCATTACTTGAGTAGTTTGTACTTTTCATGACACATCACGTTATAGCTTGGGTTATAATTACTTTTACACATATATCAATCTCTTATTAAATTGTAACTTCTTTAAAATAGGGGCCACATCTTTTTTTTCTTTAAGACAGCAACTCACTCTGTCACCCTGGGTAGAGTATAATGGTGTCATTGTAGCTCAGTGCAACCTCAAACTCCTGGGCTTAAGCGATCCTCCTGCCTCAGGCTACCAAGGAGCTGGGACTACAGGCAGTGCCAAAACACTCAGCTAATTTTTCTATTTTTAGTAGAGATGGGGATCTCCCTCTTTCTTAGGCTGGTCTTGAACTCCTGAACTCAAGCAATCTTCCTGCCTCAGTCTCCCAGAGCATTAGGATAACAGACATGAGCCACCTCACCTGGCCTAAAATAGGAGCCTCATCTTACTCTTTGCATCCCCTCAGCACCTCGCACGTAAAGTCCACATAGGTGCCCAAAACCTATTTGTCAAATGAATATTAAATCATCTGAGCCAAAGCATAATACTTTTCAACAGTAGCATGTCTATGATCAATCATGAAAACACACTCTTAGATTCTGCAGATCAACAACCAAAATATTTTTTAAGTTATGTATTGAGTACTTACTACAGAGGGACAGTATAGTATAGTACTTATGGGCAAATGATCTGGACTCAGACTGCGTAGGTTGAACACAAGTTCTGCCACTTGTGATCTTATGCAAGTTGCTTTACCTCTGTGCTTCAGAACACCTATAAAGTGGCGATAGCGCCTATCTTAAAAAGTTAAATGGCCGGGCGCGGTGGCTCACGCCTGTAATCCTAGCACTCTGGGAGGCCGAGGCGGGCGGATTGCTCGAGGTCAGGAGTTCGAAACCAGCCTGAGCAAGAGTGAGACCCCGTCTCTACTATAAATAGAAAGAAATTAATTGGCCAACTAATATATACAAAAAAAATTAGCCGGGCATGGTGGCACATGCCTGTAGTCCCAGCTACTTGGGAGGCTGAGGCAGGAGGATCCCTTGAGCCCAGGAGTTTGAGGTTGCTGTGAGCTAGGCTGACGCCACGACACTCACTCTAGCCTGGGCAACAAAGCGAGACTCTGTCTCAAAAAAAAAAAAAAAAAAGTTAAATGAATTCATGTAAATCGCTTACCACAGCACCTAATACATAGTTAAGTGCTCAGCATTATTATTATATTAAGTATTTCTCAAGTGCTAACCATTTGCACAGAACTCAATACTCTCGACAAGTTTGTAAATTTGCTATTACTAATCTTACAGATGAGAAAATTTGAGCACAGCGAAATAACTTGTACAAAGTCACAGGGCAAATAAGTGACAGGGGTAACTTCTAACTCAATCAACTACTTAAATATAAAGAAAATCTGGGAGCCAGTGCCTTGCAAAACTGGAAATGAAGGATCCGAGCTGAGCCACGGGAAAATACGGATAAAAGAAGGGAAATGCCAAGCTTCTGTTCCCCCAGTTTCACTTTCCCCAGGATCCCACTCAATACCGCCAGCACACTAACCTCATTACTAGTGACAACCAGAAACTCGTCAGAGATTCGGGGGTCTAGGTAGCTTGGTGCCGAGCAGACGCTTAAACACTTAAAAACTAAATCCCCTTAGGCAACTCTCACCTAGCAAGCATTTGGAGAAGGCCAGAGCAGAACACGGAGCTAGGAGCCCTGGGAGGAGCGAACGCCAAGGCCCCAGGCTTGCTCGCCCGTCTACTCAGTTATAAAAAATATATGCGGGCAAAGCAGGTCGGGTTCCACCTCCCAGACTCTCCAGTACTCACCCAACAGCCCCCCCATCTCCCTCGGGCCGCCACTATACCCAGGCCCAGTCAGGCCTCCCTCCCCTGCTTCCTCTCACCGTCCTTCATCTGGACAATATTACTGGCGGCCACCCGGTCAGAAGCGACAAGGACATAGTCGGGGCCCTGGATACCGATGAGGTACTCCATGGTGGCAGGAGGCCAGGAGCTGCAGGTTCGACAGGGCCCGGACTCACTGCCGGCTTCTCAGCCTCACCGGTGAGACAGCACCACAGAGCAAAACCTGGCGCGACACCAGCCGCGCGACCTCCCGGGCCCCTGGCGCTCCCGGATGACGTAGACTGTCGCGAGAGGTTGGGAGGTGGGCGTGGCGTTGGCTCAATTACGCTCTGTGCTTGCTTGTGGCTTGTCTCTGTCTCCTCAGACGCCGCCTGTGCAGGTAGCTTACGTTATGTGACGACCGGTTGTGGTTTTTTTATCTACAAATTGGGATTTTAAAACTCGCTTAAGGGTAAAATCACGCACCGTATGTAAAGTGCCAAGCACATGTGGGTGCCAGGAAGAGGTGAGTGCCCAGGTGGCCATTTCCCTTCATTGCTCGGTAAAATCTCACCAGAAACCTCTTCCCTGCAAGCCAGATGGAGAAAAATTAACTTGAGAGGAGCCCTACTTACATCCTTGACAAAAACAATATATGATTGGACTAAAGATACAAGTATGAAGACTAAAATCATAAAAACAATGGAAGAAAAATGGAAAAATATAATCTTTGGAAGAGACATGTTTCTAACCGTGACAGGGAACCCAGAAGCAATATAGGCAAAGATTTGACAGACTTGACTACATAAAATTAGGAGTCTTTCTGTGGTGAAAGTCATCCTAGTAGTTCTCAAATATAAATGTAGGCCGGGCGCGGTGGCTCACAACTGTAATCCTAGCACTCTGAGAGGCCGAGATGGGTGGATGGCTCAAGGTCAGGAGTTCAAAACCAGCCTGAGCAAGAGTGAGACCCCCCTCTCTACTAAAAATAGAAAGAAAGTAATTGGCCAACTAAAAATAAATAGAAAAACTTAGAGGGACATGGTGGCACGTGCGTGTAGTCCCAGCTACTAGGGAGGCTGAGGCAGAAGGATCGCTTGAGCCCAGGAGTTTGAGGTTGCTGTGAGCTAGGCTGACGCCAAGGCACTCTAGCCCGGGCAACAGAGTGAAACTCTGTCTCAAAAAAAAAGAAAAGAAAAGAAAAAAAAAGGATAAATGTAAATTGGGAATATTTCAATATATGAAGAGTTAATATCCTGGAACTTACAGAAAAAATGAAATAGTTAATATCTGTAACTTAAAAGGCATTCCTACAAATCAATGGGGGAAAGACAACACAATTTTAAAAGATTAAATGTTAAGAAAAGCAATTCGCCAAAGCAGAAACATGAACGGCCAATAAACATGAAAAGATCCTCAACCTTCATGGTAATTAGGAAAATAAGAAATAAAAAATAGTGAGAAAGTATAAGTTGGTAAGATTATAAGTTGAACAACCTTTTTATAGAGGACAATTTTGATAACTATTAAAATTAAATGTATGTAACCTTTGAAATGTGTCCAAAAAATATTTGCACAGATAAATATTGTATACAGAGATATTCAGTGTTGCAGCATTGCAACAACAACAACAAAAAGGCGGGACAACTTACATTTCCATAAATAGAGACATTGTCATATAAAGTATGGTACACTCATACAGTGGAATATTATGCAGCCATTAAAAAGAATGAAATTAATCTAAATATACCTACATCATGGTCCAAGATATAAGTGGAAGTACAAATGCTTTCCTAAATGTAGCATGATGTTATTAATATTTTGTTTGGTGCACTCCCAGCAGTAATGCATGAGTTCTCACTTTATTAGTTCATATAAGAGCTGATTGTTTAAAAAAGCATGGGCACTCCCTCCTCTCTCACTCCCACTCTTACCCTGTGAAACACCTTCTTCTCCTTCCCCTTCCCCCTTGATTGGAAGCTCTGTGAAGCCCTCACCAGAAGCAGATGCTGGCACCATACTCCTTTTACAGCCTGCAGAGCTGTGAACCCCTTTAAACCCCTTTTCTTTACAAATTACCGAGTCTCAGGTATTTCCTTTATAGCAATGCAAAGAGACTAAGACACCTAGTGAGTGTGATTTGCAGGGAGGACTTTAACTTTTTATTTCATACACACGGGTATTGTTTGAATGTTTTACAATGCTCATGTATTACTCATAGTTTCTTTTTGGAGATGGGGTCTCACTATGTTGCCCGGGCTGGACTCAAACTCTTGGGCTCAAGGGATCCTCTCACCTCAGCCTCCCAAGTAGCTGGGACTACAGATGTGCACTACCATGCCTGGCTGCTCCTTTAATTTTTTTTTTTTTTTTGCGAGACAATCAGAGCCTCACTTTGTGGTGCCCCCCACGCGCCATAGAGGCGCGCATCTGGCGTGCCTAGCCTCAGCAACCTCGCCTACCCGCGCCGTCATCAGCAACCTCCATCTGTCGGGCCTGCCTCAGCCCAACGTAGCTGGACGACAGGATGTTGACTATTGCCAGCTAACTTTTCTTCTGTATAGTGGGTTTTTAGCTGGCAATTTTAATTTTTTGCTTATTTTTGTACGGACCGACTGTCCACTCTATGCCTAGCTGGTTTTGAACTTCCTGAACTGGAGCAATCCACTCGGCCTCTGCTCCCAGAGTGCTTAGGATTACGCAGCGTGACCACCCCCACGCCGTAATTTCACAAAACAAAACACAAATTACCTTTACTATCTTCGCGAAGCAGTTACCTGGAAAAAGCTGAATTATTCCTGACTATTTCGACATCCCACAACTGATTATTTATCACTAGCTTCCCTGATGATGGGAAAAAGAGTGAATTAAGGCCTCCGCGCGCGCAAACACAACCTACACAACTGCATGTCGCTCTGCAGAATTTCTCAAGTGCTTACTTTCATTCCGAACGTTTCTCAGGCGCTCTGCATAACCGGAACATAGACCCGCTGAGAGTTTGGCGCAGCTATCGCAGTCATCGGAAGGTGACGCGATGCACGGCAAGGGGTCCTTAAACTCAACTATCCAAATGAACACAGCTGCATCCATCATCCTAGAAAGAGTCTTTCCTTGAACACTATTGGGGAAGGAGGCTCCCCAACCACCATCTGTTGCTGTTTGCTGCGGGCTTTCTTCTTCTGAGACAGTCTGCTTCTTGCGCCAGGCTACGAGTGAGTGGCACAGCTGGCATCAGCCTAGCTCACAGCAACCCCAATCTGGCTCAAGCAATCCTTCTGGCTCAGCTCCGGTAGCTGGGATATAGGCCGTGCACCACCATAGCCCGGCTAAATTTTTCTGATATATATAACGGTATTGGCCACATTGAATTCCTCTCTGTCCTATTTTTAGTACAAACGGGCCGCTCCCTTGGCCAGGTTCGGTTTTGGAATCGCTGGACTCGGACAATCTGCCCGCCTCGCCCTCCCAGAGTGCTAGGATTACAGGCGTGAGCCACCGCGCCTGGCCTATGGGGCTTTTTAATTGTAAAAAGTATGTCGTTATACTATACACACACATACACAAACAAATAATACAGAAGAAGTGAAGAGTTAAATCTCACTCCTTCTTCCACTGAAGGAAACCACCCATCAAATGTCTGTATCCTTCCAGACCTTTTCCTTTATACATACCAATATTCATTCATTCACAAAGGCTACAGACTTCTGAATTGGAAAAGCTGCAAACTTTTTTTACAAAAAGGACCCAATGATTTTTTTGAACTGGCCCTTCCATCTTCCTCCCCAGGACTTCTGAAATTCCCTCTGGCTAAATAACATTAGAGTTTCCCTAACTTCTTGTTTGTATAGAAGAAAGTGGGTTTTCAAGATCTAACTTGTGCTATCTCACTGCATATCAGAGAGAACCCCTCCTCTAATTAAAGTCTCAGAATAATGGAGACTTAGAATTTTTAAAAAGTCTCTGGAGGTTCACAGAAATAGCCAACTTTTTCTATAAAGGGGCAGATAGTAAACATTTTTGGCTTTGTAGACCATACTGTCTATGTAACAACTACTCTTCTTATATTTCCAGTTATTCTTATTTTTATCACAGTCGCTTGATGTCTATTGTCTATAGTCTCATATGTATCTACATAGCCACTACCCCAATAAATGAGTCAATATATGACTCAAAGACAAAGACAGGATAAAATCATGTTGATTGACACTTAAACTAAAAACCAGCCCTTTCCAAATGAACCTTTATCTTCAAAGAAAATCAACAATAATGGTAAATATCTAGAATTAATTCTTGTTGTTCTCTACTGTAGCCTTGACTGAGTGATGACCAAAAGGGAAATATTGAGAATTTAAAAGTTATCATACTCTTATGAAAAAACCGACTGTTTTCTGAGGCCATGGTATCAAGCCAGAATCTGTTTTAAACCCATTTAACCAGTATTCTATACCCTGGTAACAAGTAACTGTAATGAGTTTTAAAACCTTTCAATCAACAATATACATCAGCAAACATGCATTTGTGCAAGCCATCCATCCACTCAGTGACAACTCCTTGTTTCTCAAAGTCAGCCAATCAAGATTTGACTCATCCCAGTGAACATACTTCTGAATGTCAACCAATGAACAGTCTCACCCAAGTAACAACACTCCTAAAGATGATATTAGCCCACTCATGCCTCTGAAAATCCACCAATACTTGAATTCCATGCTTTCTCCAAACTCTAAGATTAGCAGTCTGCTCTTCTTGGAGAAAACTGTATCTGACCAGCATATGTTTAAGAAAGCAATAAATTAACTTTTGTATTTTTTAGATATTGAGTGGTAGTCGCATCTATTGATATATGGAAGGCTGCTAGCTTTGAGTGTGCCAAGAGCAAGAAAGGGTTCTGCAGCAGCAGAAAACTACTATACAAATAGCCCTGCCACTTGGGCCATTTGACCCAGCTGATCACATGTCACTAGAAGTGACTTTGGTAGAGAAAAATGCCATATGGAACTTCTGTTAATCCACAATGGAAGAGTTGTAACTCAAAGCCATATCATCGTGGTGGAAACTGACCACAGGGCATTAAGTGACTATGCAACTCGGTCTTCCCATTTTTAGTTGGGTTCTGACAAACCCACTGAGTTATAAGGCCAAGTGGGCCCAGCAGTAATACATCGTAAAATGGAAGTGATACATCTGGGATCAACTTTTAGCAGGTCCAGAGGGTACAAGTAAACTGCATGAATAATTGGCAGAGGTAACTGCATCTAATAATCATGAGGAGACAGGACTGCTGCTACATAATGAGG